TGGCAGGAGAACATTTAAGAAGCGTGCAGAACACTCAATGAACAAGTCATTTCTCAGGGCACTGGATCACTGACCTCTTTTACCATTGGGTGTCCTTAGTCTGAGACATATTTTTGGTGAGCTTTCTGTTATTGCCTGGGTTTGCTTCTCCACAGGCTGATTAATATTCTGACTTCAGTGTCTGACTTAGCCCTTGGTTTAAACGTCTAGGGTAAGAGACATCCATGAAAGCCTCTGAGCATAAAGCATGTGGCAGATAAAAGTAGGTAACCAGGTGAAAGACTTTGACTAAAATATTTTCCTCTGCATGTAATTTGTGTGTTCATGCAACCACAAAGTGAGGTTAGTTATCTGTGTAGAGCACTAAAGTGAATCTCACTGTGGAGTTAGAAGTGCTGTGCTCATTCTTCCTAGGAAAGAAGCTCACAGGACCCCGCAGCCACTACACTTTCATTCCTTAGATATGCAGTCTTGAAACTTAACTTTAAGAAATGTATTAATATTAAGCCAGAGCAAACAACCACAGCAAGATCCCTTTGATAGTTTATTGCATCCCTTTCTGGATAGGATCATTCTCGAAAACTCATTTTTCTCTTGTCTGGCAGGCACAAGGGCTTGAGTTCAATCCCCGGTTCCGCCAAAAAAAAAACCCAAAAACAAAAAAAAACCCTCATTTTTCTGAACACTAGTCTTTTCCTGTGCTGGTTCGTTGTTGCCAGACAAATGCTGGGCAGCTTCTCCAGGAAAACAGATTTGTCCTAGTGAAGAGCGCAGGAGTCCTGTTCCTCCTCTCCACTCTTCTGCTGTATCCAGTGCTCTTCACTCGTAGTAGACGCAGATAGAGATGGTAGTTGGTACCATGGCGCACGCCTGCACAAACCCCAGCAGTCTGGGAGGCAGAGGCAGGAGGACTGCAAATCTGAGCCCAGCCTGGGCAACTTGGCAATTTAGTAAAACTCTTGTCTCAAAATAATAAAAAGGAGTTTGGATGTAGTTCAATTTAAAGACCCTGGGCTCAGCCCCCGGCATTGGGGATAGAACTCACGGATCGTGTCCGGGTTCCTCACCTTGCCTGTAGGGCACTGATGCCATTGGTTTTCACTTGGCGTTTCTTACGTATCCTTTGTCTCGAAGCTCCAGCCATGGGAGCGAATCTTCTTGGGAACGGTGGTGGCAGGACACTGGGACCTACAACACTTGCCTCTGGTGTAGGTTAGACAGCGGTGATCTCCAGATGACCCCTCAGGTCTGTCACAGCTCGGGTTAGTGTCTGAGACAAGCTTATTCAATGTTCACAGCGTGGGATACTGCCAGCAATCAAATCACAGTTAAGGGCATGGTGGCGCGTGCCTGTAATCCTGGCACTTGGGAGGCTGGACAACAGGAGGATCACTACGAGTCTCATCTGTGTAGTGAGGCCCTGGAGACCCTGTACTAAATATAAAGATAAATAAATAAACAAAACAGAAGTCACAGTTAAGGAAAGTACCACAATTTATTCCTGACCTTTTAATAGAGATGATATGATCTGGGACCTCTGGTGGGGCTGGGAGAGAAGGGCGAGCAGGAACGTGTATGCCAGGAGAGGGCGACCTGTTGGGGCCTGAGGGCAGGAGGTGAGGGGGC